CCACCGTGATGTCCACTACTGCCCCATCAACTGCGTCGCCTTCGGTCGTCCGCAGTCACTCGACTTCCGCCCGATCTCCCTCCTATCGTCCTCCCTCATCCGAGCTCCCTCACCGTACCCGAAGTGTTGCTGTCCGACCTGCGACAGCCTCCCAACCACAACATCAATCACCACCATCCTCGTCGCAATATCACTACCAATCCCAGTCTCGTCACTCCCACTCCCACTCCCATTCCAAGTCACAGTCTTATGATCGTCGGCCCCCTGCGAACCAAGCGGTTTTCGACACCATAGCCCGCCGGGATTTTGAGGCTTCTCGCGGAGCTCCCCCAGTTACTCCCCGAAGGGAATCTTCGCGGGACCGTTCACAAGAGCGCCCTCCCACTTCCTACCGCCCCGATTCCTCCTCCAACAAGCACCGGAGAAATTTATCAGTTCAAGGCCATCAACGAGACAGTGTCGATATGGCGACTGCGGGCCCCATCATGCCAGAGGGCGTCGCAGGACAGCCCCAGGCTGCCGCCGCTCACTTACATCCGGCTAATCCCGTCCAGTCAAGGCGTCGCACAATGATCACAACGCCAACGGGCCAGTGGGCTTTGGGCAAGACGTTAGGTGCCGGCAGTATGGGTAAAGTAAAAGTTGGAAAAAACATGGACACAGGAGAACAGGTGAGTCTCGTAACGTTGCTTGCCCTCTGTTGCAGGATCTCATTTCAGTTCAGGTGGCCGTCAAGATTGTACCTCGGCAATCGACCGAAGAGCACCGCAGCTCGCGCGAGGCCGAACGGGCAGACCGCTCGAAGGAAATTCGAACAGCGCGTGAGGCAGCTATCGTCAGTCTCGTCAACCATCCTTATATTTGTGGTATGAGGGATGTAGTAAGGACCAATTACCATTGGTACATGCTGTTTGAGCTCGTCAATGGGGGTCAGATGCTGGACTACATCATCTCCCATGGAAAACTCAAAGAGAAGCAGGCACGCAAATTTGCCCGTCAAATCGCGAGTGCATTGGACTATTGCCATCGCAACAGCATCGTGCATCGCGACTTGAAGATCGAGAACATCCTTATCAGCAAGACTGGAGACATCAAGATCATTGATTTTGGTCTCAGTAATCTCTTCTCTCCACGAAGCCAACTCAAAACCTTCTGTGGAAGTCTTTACTTTGCTGCCCCCGAGTTGCTGCAGGCAAGGCAGTACACTGGCCCAGAGGTGGATGTTTGGAGTTTTGGCATTGTTCTCTATGTTCTAGTATGCGGTAAAGTTCCGTTTGACGATCAGAGCATGCCCAAGCTGCATGCCAAGATCAAACAAGGCGTTTTCGAGTACCCTCCAGGGCTCACTGCAGGTTAGTATCCACAGTCTATCGTGTGTCCTTGATACTGACCTCCAACACGCAGAGTGTCGTCATATTATCTCGCGCATGCTGGTCACTGATCCCAAACAACGCGCAAGTCTGACTGAGATTATGAATCATCCTTGGATGAACAAAGGCTTTAATGGCGCCCCTGAAAACTATTTACCGTACCGAGAACCTATCACCTTGCCTTTAGACCCCGAAGTCATTGAGAAGATGACGGGTTTCGACTTCGGACCGCCCGATTACATTACTGCGCAGCTCACCAAGGTCATTGAATCTGAGGATTACCAACATGCTGTAAAAGTCAGTGCCCGCGAACAACCCGCTCCAAGCTATACAGAGAAGAAGCGAGGGGTGTTCGATTTCTACAAACGACGGAACTCTGCCAGCAGGGACACGCTGTCCGCACCGTCCGCGGAAGCCGTTCAATTGGGCAACGACCCCATAAATGCCTACAGCCCGCTGATTTCAGTCTACTATCTGGTCAAGGAGAAGCTGGACAGAGAAAGAGCCGAAAAGAATCCTGGAGCGTTGGGAGTTCCACACGCATCCGGGGATTCAATGCTTCAGATGCCAGATCTTCCAGCACCGGAGGCCGCTCATACCAACCAGTATCACGTTCCGGGAGAGAAGGACAGTGGAAGAAGGTCGCGCCCCAGAGCACGAACGCATGGTGATGACGACTTGGCGGATGGTATCAAGAATCTTCACCTGGGCCCGCAGACCGGACATTCCCCGGGTCCTGCGTTATCGCAGCCCGAAACCCCAGCGAAGAAAGAAAGCACGGCAGCGGGTATTTTGAGACGGTTCAGCACGCGCAGGACAAAGGAGCGCAGCCGCGACCCGGAACGTGGAAGACTTGGCAGTCCCCACACCCCGGCACTCAACGTTCAGCCACCCGCAGACTTGGCTTCGCCCCTATCCAGAGGATTCAGTGTGAAGAGGACCCGACGCGCGGATCCATCTCCAACAGCTGTTCCACCCGGGTCGAATCAACCCCCGCAAAACGATTTCCTCAAGGCTCCAGGGTCAGCGGAGCCGGCTTCGCGGTCAAATAAGTTCCTGGAAAGATCCGCCAGCGTCAACTCGGCCGACTATCGTCCTCGTCGTTCACGGCGGAACGACCCTGACGCGACAGGCCAACCCCCGCCTAGCAGTGGATCAGACTATGCCAATGTACAGAAAGAGCCGACGGCTGCGAGAGAAACAAAGCTAGGTCGCGGCCACACCGCCCGGACAATGTCATTGGGGCATGCTCGTCGCGAAAGCATTCAAGCCCGTCGAGCTAGGCGTGATGCTACCCGAGAAGCAAATGTGCCTGAAGAGACGGATGCGGATATCACTGGAGCAGGCACTGCTTTGGAGAGTGCCAATGAAGGGGAGGACCTGTCCAAGCCCGTATACCTCAAAGGCCTTTTCAGTGTTTCGACCACAAGCAGCAAACCTTTGCCTGTAATCCGAGCGGACATCATTCGCGCTCTGAAACAACTTGGTGTCGACCACACGGAGATCAAGGGAGGCTTTAGTTGTCGTCATGCCCCGAGCATTGACCTGGATACAGTGATGGATGTTGGGCCACCAAGCCCGGACCGGCAGGGTCAGATTTCGGGCCATCGTCGGCGCATAAGTTTTGGAGGGTTGTTGAGCCACGACGAGGGCAGAGAGGAGTTTCGCCAGACGCCGCGCTCCCAGCGTCGGGCTCGAGCGCCACCTGACCACAGCTTTGTGACCACTCCTGAGGGCTCTGACGATGAAGCCGGTCCTCGGCCAAGTCGCGACCTGGGGGTGGTTGGAGAACGTGTAATGGGTGAGACAACGACACGAGTCCAGAGTGATACAGGAGAGAATCTGATACTCCGATTCGAAATCCTTATTGTCAAGGTACCTCTTTTCTCGCTGCATGGGATCCAGTTCAAGAAAGTGGCAGGTGGCATGTGGCAATACCGGGAGATGGCGAAGAAGATTTTGGACGCCCTGCGACTCTGAGTGCATATTGATCTGCATGATACGTTATGAACCCATTTGCATGCCGATCAAAGTTGATTTGATCCACGAAGCATTTGCATGAGCATGACGTTTTTCTTTTGTGGAACATTTCCTATGTCAATTTTCGGTTCGCATTACCTTTGAGCTGGCTCATCTATTTTAGGGGGGATGTTTTATCATGGTGTATACTAGACTTGAGCAAGGATGATCATGGACGCGGTGAGATCTTGTTCTTGTGTTGCTATCGGCCACTATTGTATATTTCGTCTCTTTTCTCTTTGCCTTAATACTTGATACCTATACAGTTGTCTGGGACTGTTGTACATAGGTCATGCAGGTAGGAGTAACTTTCAGACATGTGAACTAATACTGACAGGCATGTTTGTTACAACTGCTCAAACAACAAATAGTCTGTTGGCCATTAGACACACACGGGTAGCAGCATTCCAAAGTTTGGATATGCTTAGGTCAATGGAGAGCTTCTAGTGTGTCCCACGAACGGCTCACATCACGGTGCTAAATGAGGTTGAAGTGAGGCCGAACTGAGGTGCAGTTATATATACACTTTCCCTGGCATCAAGATTCAAGAAGTCAGCTTCTACCTAGCACAGCTTGAAGCACAGCTTGAATCATGCGCTTAATGATATTATTGAAGCTTGCAAAAGGCTGTTCAACAAGGAATACGGCAAGCAATTGAAAGGAATCATGCATAAGGCTGTAGTCCGAGTCTTTGTCGAGAGAGGCTAAGCCGGGTGTCGAGGCCTGTGAGGTTGACCAGTTGGCGGCTTAGCACGTCCCACATGTTGCCACTATTTTAACAACTACCCAGGCCACTAGAAAACAGACAATTATGCCAGAATTTTAAGCCTGACAGATGTTGTATTCTCTCGAAGAGTCATCAAGGATAAATCTAATATCGCTAAGGCCACTGCTTCTTCTAAGAATGCTTAAGAATATCCTGAGATTTTGACCAGGATGTGTGCTGCTTAGTCACAATCTGATATGTCTGCGCCGACAAATAACAAGATCTATAGAGGAGGATCACGTTGTGATCCTGCCGCACACAGAGCATTTATTTAACTTCAAACACATTATCTGGGTACAAGAGCCCCTGGCGATTGTCTTGAAACATTCGAAATGTGTTTATTTGTCTGGTGCTTGGCATATGTGCGAGACCAATGCTGGTTGACTTATCCATGTGCAAACGGACTCGGTTCGGCGGGTCGAAGCAGCTCGTTACTTTTGCAGTTCAACTAGGCCACTGATTGGCCAATCTAGAATACTTGCTGGGCGTCCTATCAGCACAACCATCTTCCTATTCGATATTGGCCATTCTGGGGTTTTGACTATGTATTTGTACTTTGAATTTATTACTTAATAGAAAAATACTGATCCCGCTTCATCAGGAGTGTTTGATTCTTCGACTTTTTGGATTTTCTATATAATTATCATTCACTTGATATTGATTAGCTGACTCAGCAGAGTTTTTCTCAAACAGGCTAGACCATTTTTCAAGTCCTGTCTCTCTCCCTTTCCCTGAAAGCCACCCTTTCAACACCGCCTCAACACCGCTTTCCCTACATCTTGTCTGTTATGTTGCATTTTTGATACTACAACATCAGTGGTCTCTTGGTCTGGACTGTGGCTACCATGTCAGCTATGTTCATCGACCTGACAATAGACTCGGAGTCGGAGGAGTCCAATCAGGTGAGTTTGCTTGAGTCCTTTGGACTTTCAAATCTGTGTTTTTGGAGAGTTATCGCCTCTCAAGGATTCCCCGCTGGCTTGAGTATACCCGTTGCTATATTGCTATGTTGCTATATTGCCTTGCTGTACAGCAACAGATCCCTTCTGGACTCTCTTATGCCTATTTCTTTTCTATCCTTTTTACTTTATCCTGCATATCTTGTTAAAGTTTGTATCTTTATATATTTTTAGATCTCAAGAACAGCCCCTAAATAAGAACTATTGTGTTAAGGCAGAATGCCCTGGTAACAGCAGCTGACTTGGGCTCTAGACACTATCTACAAGCGCAGCTTCACTCTCACGCAGCCTGGCTCACCGTGCACTTAATGTCTCACAGTCAGTGCCGGTGAAGAGAAGAAAGTCTGACACAAAAGATGCATTGTCTGCTCTAGCGGTGTCAAAATTCTTTGACAGGTCGAGCCATCATGAGCCAGGGCGGCGTGTCTCCTCCCAGCCTGAGCCGATCAGACCAAGCTCAAGACGAAGCATCTCAAGCCAAGAGGCCCAGGGCGTTGAACGCAGACAGAGTCCACGACGCTTCAGCGCCTGGCCAGCCACTGCTCCTTCTGCCCTTCGTTCAGTAACCCCGGACTCTTCATCAGCTTCTACCCCCCATTCCACCATCCCAGATGTCCTCATTCCTACCCCGTCATCTCGCCAGTTGAAGTCTGAACTCCGTGAATTCAGCAGCATCAACGGCCGTGCATCATCATCATCGTCCTCATCATCCCACGCATCCAGACCAACCCCTCCCCTCCAACCCCCCACAGCCCTCTCGCAGACCTACTACCCGACAGACGCCTACCAAAGGAAAGCCATCAAGGGCGCTTACCCCAAGGCGAAGAAGGTCAAGCGAGCCGACACGCCCCTGGTCCTCGGCACCCCGGGCCCGCTGCTGACCCGACCCCCCAACGTCCGGCACCAGACGCACAAGACGATGGAACGCAAGCTGCGGGCCATCCGGGGACCCGAGGTCACCTACGATCCGGCCGCAGAGTCCCGCCTGGCGGACTTCATCATGAACTTCGAGTTCGTCAACACCAACCCGCTGCGCAAGGGCGTGGTCCCCGTGTCCGAGGAGTTCAACGCGGGTTGCACCTGCGTCGGGGCGTGCAATCCGGAGATCTGCCTGTGCCTGTCCAAGGAGGAGGACGAGAGCAACACGAACATCGTGCCGTACCGGAGAGCCCTAGACGACCCGCACATGATGGTGCTGAAGCCGGAGTTCCTGACACGCAAGGCCATGATCTACGAGTGCAGTGACCGGTGTGGGTGTAATGCGGGATGTTGGAATCGCGTGGTCCAGAATGGACGTACCGTGCGGTTGGAGATCTTCTACACCGGGGACCGTGGGTTTGGTAAGTGCCGCTGTGCTTTGGGCCAACCCAGCCGGTTCTCCTCATGGTATGAGTGATGTTCTTATTCATAATTCGTCTCAATAGGCCTCCGCTCACCAGACCGTATCCGCGCCGGCCAATTCATCGACTGCTACACAGGCGAAGTGATCACCACCGCGGCCGCCGACCTCCGTGAAGCGGCTCACACAGCGCACGGCGCATCCTACCTCTTCAGTCTCGATTTCTTGAACGGCCAGTACGAAGACTATGAGGAGGACTCCAACGACGACGACGACGAAGCCACCGAGTCCGGCTGCAAGTACGTGATCGACGGGCGTAACTTCGGCGGCCCGACTCGCTTCATCAACCACTCGTGCAACCCGAACTGCCGCATGATCCCTGTCTCCCGCAACCACGCCGATCGAGACCTGTACGATCTGGCCTTCTTTGCCTTGCGCGAGATCCCGCCGTACACGGAATTGACCTTCGACTATAACCCCGGGTCCGAGGGCGGCGGCGGCGGCTTCGTCAAGGGCGCCAAGATCGATCCCAGCGCGGTGCGGTGTCTCTGCGGCGAGGCGAACTGTCGGGGCCAGTTGTGGCCGAATCAGAGGAAGAAGGGGGTTGCGGTGAGATGAACAGCACACCCGAACTTGTTGGTCACTCACCTTGTCTTCTTTGCTGCCTGCTTGCATGCCCTGCAACTGAACCTGCTGCGGTGCACCTAGTACATTGGCAACATTCTAACGGGTCAGTGTGGTATCCCCCTGAGGCGTTTGAGCAAAATGACCTTCTATTACAGGTACAGCCTGCGCTCAAGACAGAAAAGCGTTCATACATACCATCTTGTATGTCCGGACGTCTTTTGATACACCGATCTTGTTCCATTCCCTTTGATCTGGATATCCACCTCTACTGTCCTTGTCCACGCATGTCTGCATAGACCTTCCCATGGCGCGGCGTTCATACTTTCCCCAGTTCAAGACACACATACGCATACACCCAACCTTGCACATTTGACCCTTTTGCACATATTTTCTTCGACTCACGATACCCTAATCCTGTACGTACATTCCAGCCTTTTTTTTTTTCGAATACGATTGAAGCCTGCATGCAGCCCGAGGGTCTTCACCGTCTTGTCTTTACGTTCTACCTATGCACATGCAGTGATTCTTTTCTTGTTAGTTACGATTTGAAGATGGATCTTTTGAGGTCTGAGGTCGGCAGTTTACCAAACGAATCGATCATCATACCCCTTTCTCAGATACAAGTTAACTCCCCGCGTTAGATGCCAGCTCTCCCACGCTAGTCTCTAAAGGGTAGTTACAATGTGTTAATCCAGCCATCCAAAGGAATCAATCCTCATATCCAAAGTATGTAAATTAGGTAGCTGTAAGTAGGTAGGTAGGTATATATCCCAGTACCCATCCTGGCAGAAAGTAAAGTAAAGTTAAGTAGAACAAAAGCCGCACACTTACACAGTCGACAAAAATCACAAAGCATCCGCCATAGCCATAGCCAGGAAACACCGAACTCCACTGCCGCCTGACCCTTGCCCTTTCAACGCCCGTATACCCAAATCAACAAGTTCCAACCCACGGAATAAAAAATCAGGTAATTCCCATGCACAAACCGCCCACGGTACTACTCGCTATCCAAGTGTCAAACAGACCAAAAAAAGCGCCTCCACATACCACGAGCACCTGTTGCATCGACTCACACAAGCCGCATTTAGTTGTCAAACGAAACAACCCAACCCTTAACCCTCAATCCCTTTGGCGGTATTGATCCATCGGTAGGAGTCTGTCCCCAAACCCCCAGACCCCCAAGAAAGAGTTTGCGAAAGAAGGAAGCAAGTTCACCCCGCCAAAACCTCCTCGATCCCCTCAAACGCCGCCACTACCCCTCCCAGACCCCCCCTGCCGCTGCCGCTGCCGCTGCCGATCATCCCTATCCCCATCCCCATCCCCATCCCTCCTATCCCCCCCGCCGCAGCAGTCCAAGGCAACGACGGTCTGGGCTCCAACATCCCCAACCCCACCCGCTCCACCGCATCCCCCGCCGCGCGGCCTTGTTCCTCAAGCACCTCCTTCTCGATTTTCGAGAGGTTTCTGGGTCTGAGTTGGTGGTGGTGCTGCGACTGCAGCTGTAGTGGTCGAGGAGTGTGAGGCTGCGGATTCAGTCCCAGTCCCAGTCCCGGTCCCAGTGTTAGGGAAGGCGAGGGCGAGGGCGAGGGCGATGACGATCGGGAGAGTGAGGGGGAGAGGGAGAGGAGGGAGAGGGGTGGGAGGACTCGGTCCTGGTCCTGCTCCTGCTGGTGCTGGTGCTGGTGCTGTGACTGCGTCTGCGTCTGCGACTGCGTGGTAGGTGTCCTCAGCGCCGGGGTGAAGGGGACTAAATGTGGACTGAGGGGTGGGGTGGTGAGATCTCGTTGTTTGGTGGGTGGGTGGGGGTTGTATTTGTGTTGCGGCTTGGTGCTGGTGGTGGTGGTGGCCCCCGAGGAAGGGAAGTGTAAGCGGTGGAAGGCGAATGGCGGCGGGGAGGCCGTCGAATATAGCGAGGCGGAGGAGGTGGAGGAGATGGATTCCGGGTTGGAGATGGGCGAGGAGGTTGGACTGGTGGTTGTGGAGCTGAGCGGGGAGATGGTGGGCGAGGTGGAGGGGGTGAGGAGGGTGGTGGTGGTGGTTCTTTTGGGAGCGGGTTTCTGGGTGTGGGTGTGGCTGTGGCTGTAGTGGTGGTTTTGCGAGGAGAATGGTGGAGGGAGAGCGAAGGTGGTGTGGAGGTGGAGGCTGGGGGTAGGTGTTTGTGTATGTTGGGGTTCGTTGTGGGCGGACATGGTTGTGGTTGTGGTCGTGGTCGAGGTGAGTGAGGATATATGGGATGAGTGGTATTGATTGAATTATATTGAATTATAGTAAGGTGGTAGGTGGTAGAAGTATGGAGAGTAGGTGTAGATGGCAGCAGGTAGTAGTGGCAGTAGGTAACTAGTAAAGATGATGATGATGGAAAAAGAGTGGGCAAGTACTCCCTCCGTAACACAAGTAGACTCAGACTTAGTCTCAGTCTGATGGATCCCGTGTGATGAATCGAGGGTGATAGATCAACTTCAATCTCCGGTGTATTCGTGTACTCACTCACACCAGGTAAGGTAAGGTAGCGTAGTTATAAGTCCGACTCAGTCAAGTGGAACGACCCCTCAAGGACCAAAAGAAAAAACCCTCATCCCAATACGAGGACACACAGACAGTAGTTGTAAAAAAAAGAAGTTGACTCCAGGTGATGATGACATCCAAGAGCAGAGCAGGGGCTGATCCATCCATCATAATATACGTAGTAATCCCCCACTAGTATAAAAGCCCTGCCCGTCAAGGTCTAACCGCAAACAGACACACTTCAACTCCCACTTCCCGCCCCGTTTCCGCTCCAGCCGAATCTTAACTTCTTTCCGACTGCAGCAACACCAACATTCTTCCATCTTGCTGGTCCCTGTATATTACGGGGTATGCAATTGATGATGACGGTTTCAAAAAAAATTCTCGTCCCGAGCATGGAGAGCACCCTTTCTTCCTCCTTCGGACTCCGTCTCAGTAATTTGGGGGAGTACGGAGTAGAAGTTAAGTATACTTACTATACGGGCAGTACAATCCAATTGCCCGATCCGGGGCAAAAAGGCCCAGAATAGACCCACCCAAACCAGAGATCACGCCCTGTCATTCCAGCTAATTACCAGAATTCACCCTGCTCGCCCTGCTTCTTCAGGTTCTCTTTCTCCCTTGTCAAAGAAGGAAGCGATTCAATCTGCCAGTGCCAGGCAAAAACTTACTCACGTTCCCCCCCCCCCCCCACAAAAATCAACTAATTAGCGATCCGAGCAATGACAATCATGATGTAACCAGTTCTTTTTCTTTCTTTTTTTCCTCTCTTGGTGTTTATGAATTCCGTAGTTTCTCCCAATGATGAAAAGTGATAGGTCATGCATTTGCATCGCATTACGTTCGATTTATCCACGTGATGGATCTATACCAAGGCAGGCAGCCCACCCAACAACACAACACAACACAACACAACACAGCACCCGACTGACTGGATCACTCCACTATGCTCTATACACTTCTCTTCCGTGCTTTCAGGTTCGGTTTTTGTTCTTCGGGGTCTGGATTACTAGAGGGGATGTAATTTCTACAAGCCCACAAAGGAATTCAGAATCGAGTCTTGCTGTACAGTACACTAAGTTAACACTGAATACACTGACTGTATCAACTGTGTATCTTTCTTTCCACATCGCCCAGCTCACTCCTCAAGATAAAAAATCACATCATCAACATCATCGTCACTTATCATGATCCTGGCTCCTTCCCCCCCTTAATGTACATGGAACCTCTCTAGCATGCCTCCTGAAATACAGAATGTCTAGATGCAGAGCTAACAAACAGGAACGGTAGAACGCTAAACAGAAAATAGAAAGACACCAGAAAGCCCTACTCCACATCGGCACAACCTCAAATCACATATTTACTCGCCGGACCGTCGGCGCTGCGTAAAACTCCGCCGGATACTCTCGCCCCACGCCGAGTCGCCCAGCGACTGCATCACGTCGTTGACGTTGGGCGGCCGCTCCGACGTCGCGCTCTGGATCTCCTCCAGCACGTCCGGCCCGCTGCCATACGACGAGGTCGTGTTGGCCCGCTCCCGCCGCGGCGACAGCGACGGACTGATGCTCGACCACTCGGTCGGCGAGTTCGCCGCCGAGATGCGCCCGCCCATGCTGGTATCGATCGGAGGCAGACCGCCCAGTCGGGACGGTCCCCCGCCGTCGCGTCGCGTGGGCGAGGTCGGGGACAGCATCGGCTGCAGGGGCTCCTCACCACTACCACTACCACCGAAGGGGTCGGCAGGACCAGGAGCCACGTGGGTGAGGGCCGTGGGCTCGTCTTGCGATCCGTCGTCCACGAAAATCTCCGGCACCGAGAACTGTGGCACCGCGCTCATCCGGGCCGACTTCTTGTGCTCCACCTTGCGGCGGAACTGCCGCGACCAGTACAGCGTGTCGAAAAACCCGATGACCGTCTGCCGTCGGATGGTCTCCTGCACCCGTTGCAGGCGGGCCCGGCGGCGCAGGAACTCCTCGAGCCGGAGACTTTTGCTATCACTGATCACGTTATAGTGCGCCAGGATCATGAGACACGAGTGGAACGAGATCCCGCGCACCGGGTCCGCAGACACCAACACCTCCTCGTAGAATGAGTTGAGCTGCTGTCGTCGCTTGCGGATATTCTCAACCGGGATGCGCCGCAGGATGCGAGACATCTTGTCCAGATCAAGCCCTTCGACCACTCTCCGATGCGCAAGAAGCGAGTCGCGCCTGTCAACCCGACATTCTTCCAGAATCTGCGGGATCGTGAATTCGCCGTCGTAGATCCGCATGGAGAACATACCGGACAGCTCTCCCAGCAGTCGCGGGAACTGTTCCTTGGTGATGTATCCCGTTCCATCCGGATCGTACGTAGCCCATGCGTGCTTGAAGCGACGGACATCTTCGCGGCTGATGGCGTAGAGCCCGCTGCTCTTCTGATACACGTACGAGAAACTCTCGAAGATCAGGGACGTGAACAATGAAACAAAGAGATACATGCTGATGATGTTCCACGCAATGAAGAGCGAGCGAGCCCACGGGGCGCTGCCACAGTCATCGTCGAAGTAGTTGCTGCTGTACGTGCAGTAGGGCGGTTCCATGGTCGCGAAGTCTTCCATGACCTCGTTCCATCCCTCACCGGCGCTCATCCGAAAAAGTAGAATCAGCGCGCGTGGGATGTCGCGGAAATTGATATTGTCGCTTTCTTGAGAGCCGAATTTGGTCAGGCCAAACGCCTGGTTCATTGCGATCGCGAAGACCAGGAACAGCACAAACCAGGTGGCTAGCAGATTTCCAATCGCCGTGAAACTGGCGGCAGCCGTCTTGAACAGTTGGTCGAGCTGATTATTCCGGGGGATGATCAGCAGTGTAATCGACACAAGGAAGAGTTTGTTCAGCTCCGAGACGACATGGCCTGAGTTCGCAAAGGTAAGAATCGTCGTGATCAGTGTTCCAGGTACCGAGATCAACGAGTAAAGGTCCCAGGAACTTCTGCTGAATCGGTGCCAGCCAAGGCCAAGGATTCGGATCGCTACATTAGCGATGTAAACGATGTTGAACGCAAAGAACAAGATCTGTCGGATCGTGTTCCACAGATGGGCCTCCGGGTAGAACTCCAAGACCAAAAGTAGAAGATGAAGCGTAAGAATGCAAGTTACAAACTTTGCCCATCGGCCGTGTTTTTTGACAGCCACGCGGTAGCACCACATCTTCCACTGTTTGGTCTTGTTGTCGAAGGACCGCTTGGAAGGGTTGATCTGCCTCAGCAGCTTCCGCAACTCCAGCCACGAACGCTGTTCCGCGGTGAGATAGGCTACCCCTGTCTGTTCCGTGTAATTGCGCATGAAAACAGACACAAACAAGGTCAAGACAAAGACGGCACCGAGCAAGTTGAACACGATGAAGAACAGCCCGTTCTCCGGCGCAATGTAGTCCTGAGGCTGCTGTCCGACCCCAACGATGCTCATTGCACTCTGCTGCACATCAATCCACCCTTCTTGGGAGACGATCTGGAACAGAATGAAGAGGGAGTCTCCGAAATTATCAAAGTCGTAGTAGGGGTTGGCAGCGGCTCGAGGCGCAAGCACATCCCAGTTGGAAGGAGAGCTCATATACTCGCCAATGCAAGCGTCCAAGCTACCTGCTACATCGCCATCATTGCACTGGACCATTCGCCCAGCGAAAAGCGTGACCCCATAAATAGCGAAGGGGATCAAAAAACTCATCGAGACCGCAGCAGCCTATAACAACGTTAGCATTTGCAACCATCCTCGTCGGCAGTTGAACCTACAGCAATGACCTTCCATCCTCCAACGATGATGACCGAATGGAAAGTACCCTTGGCACTATCACTAACGTTCAGCAGTCGTAGAGCTCTAAGTGCTTTGAAAGCCCCGATCGCCCGGGTCAGACCCCAGTCCTGATACAATGAACCTCCAACACTGATCCAAAGAGTGATCAAAACGATGCCGTCAAGAAAGCCCCATGAGCTGCGGAAGTACGCATTAGGCGTCCAGAAGAATCCATCAGCAATGACTTTGATGAGGGCCTCGATCGTGAACAAGATTGCAAAGCCCATATCCGTGTAAGTGAACCAGTCTCGGTTATTTTGGAAGTGAGTGCTCTGGTAAATCGGAGTAGTAATGCAGGCCAGCAGAACCATGGCGACAATGGCGGCATAGATGAAAGCGGAGAAGGTAAACCAGACCGGCTTGTATGGATCGACCCCCTCCACTCGCTGGGTTCCGCGTCCGGGTCCGACCATACGCTGGCAGAACTTCCGGACTGCGTTATCCGGCGCAAATATGAACAATGACTTGTTGTAATTCGGGTGGCGCATTAGATACTCACGTTGAGCCCGTTTTCTCTGCTCGGCGGCCGATACGACCTCCCGAGCCATTGTCCTCGGATCCAATTCATCGTATGCTCGCGAGAATTTCAGCTTGGAGTAGAATGGATTGGGCTCTCGGCGCATGACCGATGTCGCGAATTTGTTCCAGGTGCGCGAGAAGATACCAGGCTGCGACGTCTCCGCTGTAGTCGTCGTTTCCAATGGCACGCTTTCCCTTCGTTCGGACTCTGTCGGCTCCTGCTCGTCGAGGAATTCCTGCACAACAGCATCCTTCAGTAGCATCTCCAGCGCCGCTGGCCCGTGGTCAAGAGGATCCTTGTAGCGCTCGGAGTTCCGGCCCATCATCAGGATCTTCGACAGGGACAGGTTTCCCTGCGAAGACATGTTGACTTGCTTCTGCTCCAAGAATGACCTGACTTGCTGGAGCCGCTTTTCATCCTCTGACACATCAAAGCTTTCCTGAATCACAGCAATGAACATGTTCAGAACGATGAAACAGGAGACAATGAACCACATAATCAAGAAAGTGGCCGAAATCCACGAAGTCTTGTAGGCTTCCGTGTATGCCGTGGCGTTGTACAGGATGTCTGTCCAATTCTCGCTAGACAGGATCTGATACATCCCCAGGAATGAGTTGTAAATGTCAGAAAAAGTGATGTAGATGAAGTCTCCGCCATCATCTTCCTCAGGTATTTGGCCACGAAAGAGCTCTGTTGCGAAGATGGATGCAAG